AAAGAGAAGGGATCTCAAATGTTACCGATTTTGAAAAATGAGATTAACCTAAGTGAGTGGCAGAAGGGTCTTAATAAATTTATTTGGGCAGGGAAAAAGCCAAGGGTTAAGTTTAAAATTATGCAAGACTTCCGTGAGAGGGGTGGACTCAAGGTACCAAATTTGAAATTATATTACGATGCGGTGGTTTTAACACTAATTAGTGATTGGGTAAATTTGACAAATCCTGAGATACTTCATATAGAGGGATGGGATTTACTTTATGGGTGGCATGCCTATTTAATATTTAATAAAAAAATGGATTGGGTCTTTAAATCTCATATTTTAAGAATCTCTTTACTTAGGACTTGGAGAAAATATTATAAAAGTGATTTTAAAGTTCCATTATGGGCCATACCTTGGCATGCGATAGAAGGAATAAAAAGAGGTGTAAAAATGGATATGGTGTCTTATAGTCAGTTACTTAGATGGGATGGGCAAAACTGGCAGTTAAGATTACGGGAAGATTTAGCGCAAGAAAATATTATTTATTCTTGGTTTCAATATAGGCAACTAGTAGATAAATGGAAGGTGGATTGTAAATTGGGTTTTCTTAGAGAAGATGGAAATCTTATTAAGCAAGTCAAGGATCAAAGACAAACCCATATTAAGAGAATCTATGGGGTATTAGTTGAAATGGACTCAGAAACGGAATTAATTAAAGACTGCATGATTAGATGGGCGCAGAATTTTGGTGTCCCAGTCTCATTGGATATCTGGGAAACCATTTGGGTGAGAAATGTCAAATTTACACAAGCACAGAACCTTAGGGAGAATTTTTATAAAATGTTTTATAGATGGCACCTTGATCCACAAAAAATGTCTCTTATGTACCCTGACGTACAACCCAAATGTTGGAGATGTGGTTATACGGATGCTTCTTATTATCATATTTGGTGGTCATGCAGAGAGATAAAAGCATTTTGGATCAAAATATGGTGGAATATCCAGAGAATTTTTAGAAGGAGGGTAAAATTTACTCCGCAATTATTTTTGTTGGGCATTGTTACAGATTGTGATACAAAGGAGGTTGTATTGATGTTAAATTTGATTACAGCCGCCAGGCTGTTAGTAGGACAATACTGGAAGAAGGAATCTTTGCCTACATTGCAGGAATGGTTTCTTAAAGTAGCTTATCTGGCGGAAATGGCAAAGATTTCGGCTTTCTTAAAGCAACAAACGCAAGAGAAGTTTCTTGCCGTTTGGGACAAATGGATAAAATTTATACAATTTAGATTGGGTATTAAAAAATATCACATAGCTTTTTCATAAGTTTTATTTTCATATATAGAGAATGTTATATATAGATACTTTTTTTTATATATATAAATAAAAAAATTTTTTAATTTAATTTTTTATTTTTATTTGTTAATTTTTAACTAAGCCTATATTCTGCTCTGGGAAGCTCAGGGGGGGGAAGGGAGGGTGTTTGTGAGGGGTGGGGGATGGGGTTTTTTTTTTATATGTGATGTTTAGTTTTTTTTTGTATATGTTGTTTTTTGTTTTGTATTATTTTTGTCTTTTTGTAAAATTTATAAAACTTTCAATAAAAAAAAAAAAAGAGAAGGGATCATGAATTGAGGATGCTATTCTGTGTGACATAATCAGACTATTGCTCCTATCTAGTTCAGTGTGCTCACCAGGCTTACCCTGATCTAGTGACTCTCAAGTTGGGCTGGAATGCAACCTGCCTCATCACCAATAAGCACGGCCAAATTCAGTGCTGGCAAGGGACAATGAGAGTGACAGACCTCCTGAACATAGGCCCAGCAAGGAAAAATCTTTATCAGTCCAATTTTGGAGATTGAACCTGAAACCTTTTGCATGGAAAGCACATGTTCTTTCTTTAAACCGTGAACAAGCAGCCTTACGGGACCTGGGAAGCATGCCTTTTTGATATTTGCCTCTTGGTTCTAAAACAATCTCCCTCAATAGGTCAAGGTCAAGGTTACCTCTGACTCTAGGGCCGTGGTGGTGAACCTATGGCACGCGTGCCACAGGTGGCACGCAGAGCCCTCTCTGTTGGCATGCGCACTGTCGCCCCAGTCCTAGGCCTTCAGCTGGATTTTATAAAACCTTTTCACTTTAGGCCTCCACCGCCGTGTGCAAAAAAAAAAAAAAAAGTTTCAATCAATCAATTTCAACTTCTCGCAGGAAAAAAAAAGATCTCGCAAAGTTAGAATTGATTGATTGAACTTTTTAGTCCCATCCAGTCTGCTGTTACCACCGCAGCCATGCCTACCCAATGGGCCACGCCCACCCAATGGGCCACACCCACCCAATGAGCCATGCCCACCCAGCACCCGACGATACATAAGTGGGTTTTGGGTTGCAGTTTGGGCACTCGGTCTCTAACAGGTTTGCCATCACTGCTCTAGGGGACAGTGCTGATCTCTATTTCTTAACCAAGGGAGCCAGTGTTGTCCAAAACTGCTTCCGGAGTCATGTACCCAGCAGGACTATTTGCAAAGGCACACAGAATGACATTACATTCCCACCAAAGTGGTACTTATTTGTGTAGTTACATTTGCAAGCTTTTGAACTGCTAGGTGGGCAGAACTGGAGCAAGAACGGGAGCTCACCCGATTGTATAGTGCTCAGGTCTTAGTATCTTAGCATCAGTGCTTAGCACAGTGTTTCTCAACCTTGGCAACCTAGTGTTGCTAGCTGGAGAATTTTGGGAGTTGAAGTCCACACATCGTAAAGTTGCCAAGGTTGAGAAACATTGGACCCTTAGCACTTTTAACTGCTGACCCACTGCACCCGCTCTCCCTCAGATACATGAATCTAAAACTAGAATTCCAAGGAAGATGGGGGCTTGTTAACTATGCAAGGGGGAGCCTGTGGTCAGTGCTTGACATCAAATCTAATATTTCTTTGATACATTTCTACAGAAAATGTGTACTGGGTCTTTTGAAAAAATACACTAGGCTGATAGTAGCCTCCTTTTCTTGTGGCATTCCATCTTGGGAATATCCCCTTCGAAAAATAAGCTTTTTCTGACTTCACTGCAATTTAGGCATATACTGAAAATGTTTTGTTCAACAGCCTTTAAACACAATAGTATGGCTGAACCATTTACAGGCTTGGCTACATTCCCGGAGGTGTTTTATTTTCAAATCTATATTTATGATACAAAATAAAATGCAACATAAATATAAATAGCCAAATTTTAAAAAAGCATTTGGTTTATATTTGTGTATTGCATTTAGTGTGGCTTGAATTGCTGATTTTTTAAAAATATTCTGGATATTATATTTTTTGCTTTTAAACTGTACTATGTCTGGTCACACTGTATGTCAGATGAAATATAAATATTTGTTGTATTATGATAATAACAAATAATTATAGTATGAATGTCCCAGTGTGAAATAAACAGGTTCAGAAGCTGCTTAATTAAACCTTCGAACTAAACTAGTGTAAACAAGATCTTTTCCATTAGTATTGAATTAAGTGCCTTGAGAGAGAGTCTAGAAAACTGCAGTAGAATTGGTCTGTGATTCCAGGAAGCACAGCCGGTGATCAACAATTGCATTTCGTTACTTGTGGTTTAAGCCACAGGTATTGTGTTTCCTCTCTTTCTCAGCTTGTTTGTCCCAGTCAGGATACAAATGGTTCCCTAGGGAAGCTTGTGGCAACTGCCCCCACATTAACTGTGTTGCATTTCCAAGATACAATCAATAGGTGTTATAATTCATAGAAGGAAATAAGTCGGGGATGGTAAAACATTGATTTCCCATTCTTATCACACCAGCTGGAACCATTTCAGCTTTACAGTGTTATTGCTGCTTGCTTTGTTTTTTTAAAGAACACAAGATTTCTAGATACTCTGACACATTCTGTATCATTTTTAGGCTTAGGGCACAAATTGGGCAATAGCAGCCATGTGTAGATATAGAAATATATGCAGTGGAGAAGCCTAAATATACTATATATTGGGAGAATTAAGAGATAGGGACTGGAAATCACTCTCATTGGAACAAATATTCAGCTTTGATATTGATTTGATTATGATCAACCAATGGTCAAAGATTGTGCCTGTGCCTGGGACCCTGGATGTGGGACAGAGCCCACCTCCTGGCTTTGTTAATAGTAGATCATTCATTCATTCCATTTTAATTTATACATCAGCTCATCTCATTTGCATGTGATTCTGGGAGGTGTACTCAATTAAAGCACAAACTAGCAACCACAAAATTCAACATTGAAACCAATTAAAAACAGCTAAACACTACAATTAATATTTGTTTGATGCTCAACTACTTTGTGTTTTTATTTTTTATATTGTATGTTTTTAACTAATTTTGTTGTCAGCTGTCAAGTGCCACTTATGTGAGACAGGCAGCTATATAAATCAAGTCAGGTCACGTCAGGTGAAATCAACTCAACTCAACTCAACTCAACTCAGATCAGATCAATTGTGCTCTTTCCCTGGTGTGAATTCTTCATTCTTTTTCCACTGATATACTTCTTCATGGTTGCTTTGAATTGTATTCCTTATACAACTATATGTTGCCTACTAGTGATTGAGGTGTCTTATGGAGAAATAGATAAAATTCCAAAACAATTGAATGGAATTCAACTTACTGTAGAGTCTCATCATTTCATTCAGTGTAAGTGTCATTTTACAAAATTACATTATACTGTAGTGCCCACTCCAGCAGTGAAGGCTGCTGAACCTTGATTAAGTTATTATAAACCAACTTCTGCTCAGAAAATGATATATACAATTTATTATATAGACTGATGGATTTGTCACAAGAAAAAGTACTTCCCCTCCCAAAAGTTGAGAAATTGACTAGATCTGAGCCTGTTCTGAAAATGTTTTTGAAAATGTGTTAAAATGTATGAATGAATTATGATTCGTTTGCTAGAGGATCATTTAAGTAGAAAGAAAAGAGGGACATCAAAGGAAAAATAATTCATTAAAGACAGTAACAACTCTGTTGCTTTATACTCACAGTACTCAATGCCCAAGACAATGTCTCTGAAATAGAGCCAAGCTTGTTCTTCAGAAAAAGGGTTGTCACATGGCACCTCCATGACAGGCCTAAAAAAAATAGGGCACAAAGAGCAAGACAAGTACTTTACCAGATTGTAACAGCCATTTTATTCTGTATTTTTACTTATTCTGGTAATGTAAGCTTGTGAGGCTTGTTTAACAATTCATTTTGTGATGTTTCATTGGGAGTTATTTTTATTTTTGGTGTTGACTTTTATTTATTGCTTTTATTAATGCCAAATTGTAGAACGATGTACTGTAGCTTATGGGATGATTGGGTGGGGGAACCAACTAAAGCATAGCAACACAGGCCTTCTCCTTCCAGTTAATAGTGCAAAAAAATGGAGAAGAGGGATTCATAGAAAGATGGGGGAGGTCTTTTAATCTCTCCCTGGCCCTCTGCCTAGGGCAGCAATCCTTAACCATTTCAGACAAATGGCTGTCCAACTGTTTGTTTGAAAACCTCCATGGATGGAGCCCATGACTCCAAGAAACACTGGATAAGTATTGGATTCCAAGAAGCAGTGGCTGTTCCATTGTTTAATATCTCTTACAGTTGGGAAATCATTTCTTATTTTGAGTTAGATCTCTCCCTGGAAAGCTTTGCTCATGGATTCTTGTCCTACCCTCGGGCCATAGAGAGAAAAAACCCACACTGTCTTCCTGCTGACAGCTTTTCAAGTGATGGATTCACTGGAGTTGGGAGGTGTACATGGAATAAGAGTTAAAACAGCCAAAGTGGCATCTATAGCTATTTTTTCAAAATCTTGTTTAATGATGCCATAAGTTTAAAGGTGCTGATACAGATCATCCAGCAGATGCTGCTGCTGAGCAGAACCTAAGGCCTATTCAACAGTCATGCAATGAACCTGATAGCAATAGCATTTAGACCAGTGTTTCTCAACCTTGACGATTTTAAGGCATGTGGACTTCAACTCCCAGAATTGGCTGTGGAATTCTGGGAGTTGAAGTCCACATGCCTTAAAATCGTCAAGGTTGAGAAACACTGATTTAGACCTATATACCACCCCAAAGTACTTTACAGCATTCTCTGGGCAGTTTACAAAGTAAGCATTATTTGCATATTGCCCCCAACAATCTGGGTTCTTATTTTACCAAACTCTGAAGGATAGAAGCAGTGGTGGGATTCAGCTAGTTCGCACCAGTTCGGGAGAACCGGTAGCTAATTTTTTGTTGCCCAGGCCCAGAATGGGCTTCCGGAAGCGGCATCCACGCAGAGAACCAGTTGTTCACATATTTGAATCCCACCACTGGATAGAAGGCTGAGTCAACCTTGAGTCTTGTAAGAATGGAAATTCTGCGGGCAGAGTTTGCTTGCAATACTGCACTTTTAACACCCTGTTCCAAAACTGTAAGGCTTTAATCCCCATAATGTGGCATTCACACAATCTTTTTTTATTATAAACTACTTACCCCTTTGGGAGGAGATCGAATGCTAAAGGGGACAAAAGAAGAAAAGAAAAAGACAGTTCTCAACCAATGCACTTTTAGAAAAGATGGAATTAATTAGATGGAATTAATTTCCATCTAATCTCTAATACAAAGATGTTGTAGAAAAGGTCCATAAACTTAAATTTTTAAGCTTAACATTTGTTGAGAGAATGATTTTGTAAGAAAAAATCAACAATGATATTAGCATTTACACTACTAACGTTATACTAAACTAAACAGACCTTCAAAGTAAGAGTTAAGCAGAAGTTCTTCATAAAATGACTTCGAGTTCCAAACAAAAGACTTTCAGTTTTCACTTCTATGGTCATCTATTTCCAAAGTCCTGTAGTAATCCCATTTGTAGAAAATGGGGTTACCATTTCTTTGATTTCTCAGTGTTTCCAGAGCAAAGGGAGAACCTATTTGTCTGGAGTCATCGTTTTGCAAATTTTACTTTTTGAATGCCACTGGCGATTGTACTTGTGACAAAGAGACATCATCTAAATGATGTGAGTGCAAAACATTTTGAATTCGTTGTTGTTTTTTTCCTCTTGCCTTAATGGCAGTCTCAAAGACTAATAATGGACATTTGTCTCACATCTATTTGACAGACTGCTTCTCCCCAAATACATCTACAGGGTCCACCAGGAAGGCAGAACATGTTGCTGATCTCAACTATCAAGGAAGCACATCTGGTGGGACCTAGGAAAAGGGCCTTCTCTATGGTAGCTCCCTCCCTTTCAAAATCATTTCTCCAGAGATAAGATTGGCCCCCATCATGTTGCTTTTCCACAAGGCCTTGAAGACATGGTTCTCTCAGTGAGCCTGGTGACCCTATTCAGAGCCGATCAAGTGGCTTGCTTGATTCTGTTTTTATGCCATGGGGTGGGGTGTGAAGAGGGGGTTTAAGTCATGAATTTTTACCGTAAATGCCGGCGTACAAGGCGACCCGGCGTATAAGACGACCCCCGTCTTTATAGCCGGGCCGCATTCCTAGAATGTCGTCTTATACGCCGGAAACTACCAGTATTTCCGGAGTATAAGACGACTCGGCGTATAAGACGACCCCCATCTTTGGCGCCGATTTCAGCGCTCGCGGAAGTCGCCTTATACGCCAGCATTTACGGTAACTGGATATTGAATGTCATATGCCACCCGCATTCACTGTGTGTGACTTGGTCAGCTGTATAAATTTGTTTAATAAATAAATAATATTTCCAGTCTAATTTTTATTTAAAAAGCTAAAAATTATGTAGTGAAAAACTGCATATTTTTTTCCGCAGAATTTCAGTAGTGTGATTTCAGAGTTCTTGGGTATCACAAATTAGAACAGAGACCTATATGAGGACCAGGGACTGAAGCTGGCCACTCCCACTCTAAAGTATACTGAACTCATCTGTGGTTTTAGAAAGATACTTGAGTGACCACACAGCACCATTCTGAAGCCATTAAAAGTGACAGCACTATTTCCTGACTCCACTCTAGAGAATTCTGCAGGGGAAATATTGATCAGCCGCATCACTAAACCAGTGTACCACTTTATGGTGCATTAGAGAACTCTTTAAAAATAAAAATAAACAAAGAAAAAAAGAAACCAGATTTGCTGAGCTGCATTCTGTTTACAAAGGAAAGGGAAGAGGAAAAGACAATGTGTATATAAGAAAAAAAAAACCTCACTGCAAAATAGGTAGAAATGAATCAACCCAGTCTAGTTAGCAGCCTCTTATAGAGGGTAAGGGAGATAGCAATATTAAGGAATCATTAACAAGTGAAAAGGGGCTGAAACATTTAAGTCCATAACAAGATAATATTCAGAAGTGTCTCAGATAGATACAGGTAGTCTTTGATATACGACCAAAATTGAGCCCAAAATTTATGTTGCTAAGTGAGACACTTGTTAAGTGATTTTTACTCCATTTTACGCCCTTTCTTGCCACAGTTGTTAAGTGAATCATTGCAGTTGTTAATAACACAGTTGTTAAGTGAATCTGGCTTCCCCATTGAATTTTGCTTGTCAGAATGTTTCAAAAGGGGATCACATGATCCCAGGATACTGCAACCGTCATAAATATGAGTCAGCTGCCAAGCATCTGAATTTTGATCACGTGATCATGGGGGCGCTGCAATGGTTGTAATCTTGAATGATCACTAAACAAGCTGCTGTAAGTAGAGGACTAACTGTCTCTCCCTAATACACTGGTGTATAAAAATGAAGGGAGGTAGAGCACAAGCAGACCTGCAAAATTCTGTTATAACCAATCTCAATAGAAGTAGCCATAGCCTTCCTGCACAGTAGATTTCCTGGTCTGATTTGTCTACTGGGCTTGACACATCATCATATTCTTGAAGGTGATACCAGCCCCCTTCTCGGCAAACGATTGCCTGCTTCAGGATAAATATGAATATGGCCCTGAATCAGTGGAAGGTGCTAGCAAACATAAGTAGAACTATTCTCGTGACCTCTTTCTGAGTCTCCCAAACAGATTCGGTGCTGTAGGAATCAGACAGTGTCGGTCTGCTCCAGCACAGCCATTTCTTGTATTCTTCTACATTACTCACCCATGTATAGATTGTCCTCTGCAGGATCATCCAGTACCTGAAAAGAAGAATATATCTACTTTAACTTCTAAACCATCATTCAGTTTCATCTCACACTACAGGCAGCTATGATGCCCTAAATGGCAGCACTGTTAATGTAATTCTCCCTAACCTAAAACTGTTTTGACCCTGCTACTCTCAGAATTAGCTATGTTGGCTAGGAATTCTAGAAATTATCCTCTCTACACACTTAGGTTGTACCAGGTAGGGAGAGGGTGATCTAAACTATCCTGACTGGGACAATGGGAACTATAGTCAAACACATTTGGAAGGAACCAGGTAAGCTATAAAATTTTTAGTTTTATACCAACTCAGGGTACAATAAAATAAATTCCATGGATACAGTTTTGCTGTAAAAAAAGATTCAATTTGTCATCAAAGTGTGCATGAAAATATGCTAATTTGGGGGAACCTAGAAATGAACAGATCCCATTATGCAGACAAGGGATCAGATGTTTTTTCTTTTACTCCAGAGGGCAAAACTAAAGTAAATTTGTGGAAATCATAAGGCAAACAAATTTAATCAAACTTTAGGAGAACCAGCCCAATGATTACAGCTGTTTTCTTAGAAACAACAGCCTTGAAAGACAGTAGCCAGACAGTGTCCTTGGGCCAGTCACTTCCTCTCAGACCTAAAAAGGAGGCAATGGTACATCACTTCTGAAAAACCTTTCTGAGAAAATTGCAGGGACATGCCTAGACAGTCTCCAAGAAACAAACAGGACTGAACAGAAGAAAACAAAAACTGGAACTTAAATACCGGTAGTTGCTGTTACAAACTACTTTCAACTCCCTCAGCAGTTCTGCAAACTTGCTCCTGCCAATTCTTTGTTGCTGATATACATATATGCATGGATGACACCTTACAAAAAAATAACCTTGTTTGTATTGCAATTCCTGATTTGTTTTATATTTCCTTTCTTCTTTCAGAGGGGAGTTCTTCATTGAAGAAAACATATCCCTTTGAGCATTGTTGAAGAAGCAACAGGAAAAACAATAGAGGTACTTAACTATGATGCAAATATTTCTTTATATCAACAATTTCCTCCTTGTCCTCGTGATGCTTCATCCTGTTCTAAGCTCATCAATGAGAAAGCTTTAAGTTACCACTAACTGTACAAGTACTAAAGTTGTGTTTTCCTACTTATTCTGATACCATCCAGTAAAAGCCTCAAAATGCATAAAATGCATTATGCTTTACTACCTATTATTTTGGAAACAAAGTCAGGTTACCAGTAGCGGAATACTGAGGGAGGCACTTATTGGGTGTATTAGCCTAATGTGGGCACATGCCCCTCTAGTCTCTGGTTAACCTCTCCTGCTGCTTTTTGTTATTTATTTCCTAAAGATGTGAATAAAGTGGCATACAAAGCTTTAGAAAAACTACTTGGCAAACAGGTAGTCCTTGTTTAGCAATGACAGTTGGGACCAGTAGCTCAGTCATTAAGCAAAAGGGTCGCCAAGTTGGAAAGCATATGACTCCACTCCTCATTCATCTGCCCTTTGGAATGTTCATTGCAGTACTGGATAATTAGCAAGAAGAGAATTAATGTTTGTATTTACATTCATTGCAGAGTAAGGGATTTCAAGAGAGTAAGAAGGCACACAATGGGGAATACAATGAAAAGCAATACAGGAGTGCTGGCAGCCCCAAGTGCAATCAGGGCTGGCAGCTGCAAAAATGCTACACAAACAACCGGGTGCATTTCCCACGTATGCCTGCTTACTCTCTTGTAATGCCTTTCTCTCCAATCTCTTGATCCGTGAGGAGGGAGAGAAACAGGTCAGGCCCAGAAGAGATTGCCTATAGAATTTTCCCCTCCTTCACATAAAGCAAGAGAAGGATTACAAGAGAGTAAGCAGGCACATAATAGGGGATATACCACTTGCATGCTCAGAGCTATCAGCACTACCAGATTTCTTCAGATGTGTATTCCCCATTATGTGCCTGCTTACTCTGTTTAAATCTCTTCTTCTCCAATCTCTCCACTCTGCATGGGGTTGGGGGGGGGAGAGAAAGAAAAATAACAGGTCAGGCATAGAACAGCATCTACTGACTAAAATAGCGATCACGTGTCTGAGGGATGTTGCAAAGGTTGTAAATGCAGGCATTCAGCGCAAAATTATTTTGTCAGCACCATTGTAACTTCAAATGGTTGCTGAATGAAACAGCTGGTAAACAAAAACTACACGTAAAACATTACCAGGGTCTAAAATAGTATAACAGTCAAAAAAGGCACACAGTATCACTGAAATCCCAGAAACAACCTTCTCCACTTTTGTCTCTAGAAATCTGTAAGTGGTGACTATTTTAAAAAGCAAAAAAAGAAAACTTCTTTAAAAAGGTTGCTTTTCAAACAACCACTGCTACCAGTAGCAGCACTCAGCTTTGTTCAAGATTCTTGTTTATTTTCCCAGACTTTATTCAAGTTTTGTAATGATTAAACGGGAACTATGAGAAAGTCACAAGATGTTGAAATCTGGGCAAACTGTTCACTCATAATCTTCCATACAAAATTCAAAAGAAAAATGTACAGCAAAAAAATGAAGAAGTCTTGACCTCTCATGCTCAATTTGAAACAAAATTAAGAAAATCCAGAGTTTTAAAATCCAGGAAGAAATTTAATTAAAGGGAGTTTTGGAAAATCCCAACCTACCTCATGCACAGAACACAAGCAAACAAACCTCAATCAGCTTGACAATGTTGATATGGTCCAACTTCTTCAAGATTGCTATTTCCTGATATATCCGATCTAGAGGGGCCATTGGTTTCATCTGTCCACTTGCATTGGGTTTTGATCCCCGAGGTGGAGGCCGGCCTTTGGTAATGAAATCAAAAGACATGTTGTAGTGAGAACTAGTTTTCACGTTGCTTTGAGATTGACTTTTTCCCTAGCTTTCAGGGATATCTCTGAGAACCAAGAAAAATATCCAACTTAATTCAGATGCAGTTACTTCTCTGATGATCTAGATTTTTGCATCAGAGATTACAAAATTTGCTACAGCAAACTAAGATACAGTGCGGAGCTACTTAATCATTCATACAAATGCTCTTTCTCTGAGAAAAGAAGTCAAATCTGTTCACATCACTCTGACAGCAACAATCTAGGAAACAAAGCCAAAAATAGCAGTTCCACATTCAACCCTTTCTACTTTTTTTAAAAAAAACAGTAAATCCAATGGACTAATTTCTGGTTTAATCACTCTTTGAGTAAGCTTCCTGAAATCAAGAAAGAACAGTCATGAGTTGCTGAAGGCCCTTTAATTTCAACAGGCTACATCGAGTACAATTGAATTATGAGCTGTGTTTGCGTAACACACTTAAGACTTTGTAGCTCTACATCTACAAGACACTAGGCCTGGTTAGTCTTACTTTTCACTTAATTTCCTTAGCATGCTGTGCAAGCCCAACTCATTTTGTAAATTTATGATTCAAATAATTGTGTGCACCCAAAAAGCAAGTTAATGCAAAATCAGGTTACACATGTGATGTGAAATAAAGAATATAAATGATATTGTGACTCTCCAAATGCTGTTGAATTTCCAATTTACATCAACATGGTCATCTAGGAAAACCGATAGGACCTTGTGGCCAACATCCTTTGGAGGGTCATACCGTATATGCCGGCGTATTAGGCGACCCGGCGTATAAGACGACCCCCGTCTTTATAGCCGGGCTGCATTCCTAGAACGTCATCTTATACGCCGGAAACTACCAGTATTTCCGGCGTATAAGACGACTCGGCGTATAAGACGACCCCCGTCTTTGGTGCCGATTTCAGCACTCGCAGAAGTCGTCTTATACGCCGGCATTTACGGTATATTGTCCATCCCTATTTTGAGGGTACTTCTGAAAACACAATCTTCTACACAAACATCTCCACATGCTGTCAAATATTGTGCATTGACAAGTTTCTTTGGTCTTCTCAGTGACAACGAACATAAAGCAGATTTTTTTAAAAAATACACAATGCCACTGTCATGCAGCTGGATTGGCTAAAGCTTCTTGGCTTGCAAAAAATGAAATGCTGCATAATAGATATCCATGCAAATCAACTCTGACCATGTGGCCCATTGTAATCATGGAAAAAAAGATGAGTACAGTGATGCATTTATAGTCCACTAGAAAACAGCCATCTCTCCTCAGTGTTTCAATAAATTACATTTCTAGGAAGAAAATATAAAGTGATCCAGCATTATCAGACCATCCTTTCAAACTAGCCTAATGATTTTGATACCAAGTAAGCTTTGGTTAATTTAAAAGCAGATGTCATCTCCTATGGCATGCAAAAGAAGAATGGAAATACGAGCTTGAAGCTTACCGTAATACATTTTTATTGAATGTGATCTGTTTTACCAATGTGCTTTTTAAGAAGTCTATTTTTTCTAATGCATTTTTATTGTTTTTGTTTCTCTTTTATTCATTTTTTTCATATTATCTAGCCGGAGTTCCACTTTTCAGTGAAAGTACAGGGTACAAATCTAACAAGTAAATGTGAAATGGAAAATTGCAGTGCCTATTAACTACTGAGTTGTGCTTTAAAATTAAACTTAATTAATCCAATCCCAAATTGCCCAGGCAGGCAATTTTTTTCAGCCTTAAGTGCTATACAGCTTGCCAGGTTAAGCTGGAAAATATCAGGATTGCACAACGTTTAATGAGTGGTGTGCAGTGGTTGCATGCCAGAAAAGAGAAAAAGAAATAATTAGTATGTTTCCAAAGAAATGTACGGTAGGTAATATGATTCAGTTATATACTGAATGAGTTAGGATTCTCTGTTCTCCTCCAAATAACAGTTTGGTAGCAGCTTTTGGAGACGGGCGGGGGGCAGACCCAAGGATTTGGGGGACACACCCAGCTTTGATGACTCAGATTTATATACTTGACATAATGAATGCAGATGAGGATATGCACTTTTTCATTTTTTTATATATGAGCACATAGATATAATGCTATAATTCCCTTTGTCTCTCTCATTCACTCCCACACAGCACTCTCATTTACTAAGTGTGGGTTGAAAAGGAAAACCACCTGAAAAGTTTATACGCCATAAATTATTGGCATATATCAGGACAAAGTTTCATTTCAAGAAGAAATGAATACAAAGAATTTATAAGGTAAGGGCTTTTTGGGTCCGTCCATCCATCCGTCCATCCATCCATCCATCCATCTTATTTCCTTATTGGGAGATAGTTTGGTGTAGTGGTTAAGGCACTAGGCTACAAACCAGAAGACTGTGAGTTCTAGCTCTGTCTTAGCCACCAAGCCAACTGGGTGACTGTGGGCCAATCAACCTCTCTCAGCCTTAGGATGAAGGCAAGGGCAAACCACTTCTGAATTCTTTAGTTTAGCCAGTTGCCAAGGATTGTACTAACTCAAAGACAATATACATACAGACTGATTTAAAATCTGATTTAAATGGAAGAGTTTGCTGTGTCTTTATGCCTTAACAAAGCACAGATACCTACGTGGAAATCCATATTGTTTTAACAGCTTCTTCTTTGAGAGGACCTTCATGGCCTGCAGGCAAAAGAGAAAGATAGTAACATTATAAAAGCTATAGGAGTTCCTGTAGGAGAAATTTGTTTGATGTTCCTGACAAGAACACCAAATGTTGGTGATAGAAATTGGTCACCCAGCATCCATAGGAATCCCTGTTCCCTGCCAGGATATCTAAAATAAAGGCATGCTATCATTTCATTTTTAAAATTGGAATTGAGGTGCTTAAGGAAGCAGGTAGCAAGAAGCCTTTGATGTTTGTATCCTGGGATGAAAGTCCCTCCTCAGGACTTTTCTTTTTCAAGCAAGAAAATAGTTGCTCATGCATTCCTATCAAGTAAGAATCACCATCATGCATGGAAGAAAGATTACTTCCTCTGCATTTCCCCACCCTTAAGCTTTTATACTAATGATATTTTAGAATAGTGTTCTTCAACCCTGGAAAACATAAGAAGTGTGAATTTCCCATCTTCCCCAGCATGCTGGCTGGCGAATTGTGGGATTTTAAATCTATACATCCTAAAGTTGCCATAGTTGAGAAACAGCGTTTTAGAAGAATGTAACTACTTCTCGGCTGGTTGAGAGGGCACTTGGTACAAGTCCAAAAAGATTTTGCTTGTATATCAGGAATTGTAAAAAGTGCAATAACGGCTGTGGAAAAACCAGGGGGAAACAGAAACCTAACTATTCCTAGTTGTCAAAATCACAATGGTTCTAGAAGGGGTGAGAAGCTCTTACAAATGGTATGTAGAGATAATTATAGGATTACTGCCAAGTGGCAATAAAGAGAACATGGAATTTGTGTCAACTTCCAAAGTGCCTTGACAATCGTAAAAGCATGGAAGAACTCACCAGCCATTAACTAATTATGTAATACTGTATGCAACCATAAAATTCTATTATATTTTATTCTTTTCCTTTCCTTTCCTTTCCTTTCCTTTCTTTTCCTTTCTTTCCTACAGTATATGCAAATGTATATGTATGTATGTCTATTCAATATAATAAAAATATACCAGTTTGGTGTATCGTCTGATGGTTAAGACATCAGGTTAGAAACCAGGAAACTGGGTTCTAGTTCCATCTTTGACAGAAAGCGAACTGGGTAACCTGGAGCCAGTCACTCTCTCAGAGTCCTGGGAAGGAGCAATGGCAAATCACTTGCCAAAAAGGAACTTTTCCAGGCAGTCTTCAGCAGTGAAAAAAAAAAAAAACCCGATTCTAAGGCACAAATAAACCAAACCAAACCAAAGATGGAAAGTAAGTAAGAAAGGAAAAAGACAAAAATAAGAAAGAACATAATTTTCTCTTTCTTTCTATTGAGTAATTATTCTTTTTCTTTTTAAATATTGTTCAATGGCTCAACAAATCTGGAAAGCTATTTTGTGTGGGAGATTATAGTTATTCCAGCTCATAATGGAAATGGGGAACATTTTAAGCGATTAAAACAATAACATAGGCAACCTTCCCAAGCTGTTACCACTAACTGTGTAGGAATTCAAAGGTATCAAAGAAAATGTCCCATTATTGTCCCATGTCAGTCTCATTCATATAGCAATGGATCAGGAGAGGCACTTGCAACTTACATAATATTGATCATCATTTTCATTGTATGCCAGTTTCACAACTCCATAAGAACCCTAGAAATAAACACACAATCAAAATCACTGAGTCTCTTGTTTCATTGACCTGCTCCAGGGAAAGATTCAGTCTAAAACTCTGTTTCAAGATGGAGATTGTCCTTCTAAAACCCACTCCCCACTGTTTCTCCCCTTTATTTGGCATTTTTTCATTCCTCCATTCCTTGCTTTGCAGATAGATTATGAAGCAGAGTGGGCAAGCAGATTTTGAATATTTTGCAGCCCCCTCCCAAGCCTTCTCTGGGGGTGATCTGAAATATGGGGGTACATTTTTTTTCCTACTATAAAATAAGCCTTCTAAAAACAGACTTTATGCTGTTTTTTTAAAAAGAAGATAAGAAAAACCACAATCATTTCTCTTTCAAAAGTCTGCAATGCTTTTTGCATCTCTGCACCCCCAATCAACTTCCTCCCCTCCCCATAAATTTCCGGCAGCTTCTAATCACTGTAAAAATAATCTGGTCCACGGGTCCACTTCAGATGGACATTGCTTTCTGCTTGGGTAAGGAACTGCCTGAAATAGAGCAGTGTTTGGATGCTGTCATCCAGCAGAACAAGGCTGGGGATCTGTTTTTGATCTCTGCCAACTTTTTAGGCTGCCAAAAACGGCTTAGTGCTTAGAGGTTGTTGGCAGCTTTGCTCTAAAATGTAGTGCTATTAAAGAAGATAATTCCTCTCTCTGATGGTTGTACCCTTCCATTCCTGATGCCTGCTCTTTATTATTCTCTGTATGGAAGGATAATGATGCAAGATGGCCAGACCTATTATTTTTCTCCAGTTAGGGGAGTGTGTGTTTTGTCTTTTTTTCCCCACTTTTTAAAACCTATATGTGACCCATGTATTTGGTGTCAGAAAAAGAAGTAAAAAAAGGATGAGGGGTGACATGATAGCAGTGTTCCAATATCTGAGGAGCTGCCACAAAGAAGAGGGAGTCAAGCTATTCTCTATTGTCCTGAAGGCAGGACAAGAAGCAATGGATGGAAACTAACCAAAGAGAGAAGCAACCTAGAACTAAGGAGAAACTTCTGACAGTTAGAACAATTGATAAGTGAAATAACCTGCCTGCAGAAGCGGTGAATGCTCCAACACTGGAAGTTTTTAAGAAGAGTTGGACAGCCATTTGTCTGAAATGATATAGGGTTTCCTGCCTGAGCAGGGGGTTGGATTAGATGACCTCCAAAGTCCCTTCCAACTACTACTACTACTACTACTACTACTACTACTACTACTACTACTACTACTACTTCTTCTTCTTCTTCTTCTTCTTCTTCTTCTTCTTCTTCTTCTTCTTCTTCTTCTTACTTCTTCTTCTTCTTCTTCTTCTTCTTCTTCTTCTTCTTCTTCTTCTTCTTATTATTATTATTATTATTATTATTATTATTAGATCATCGCACAGTCAGCCAGATGTTCAGACTGGATTTGGCATTTTGTCTACCTATCGAGTCCTTACCCAGGACCTGGGATAGGCAGATATGGATGTTTGATGGTATTACAGGTATCGTTGCAGGATGGAAGCAGTTCCTAGTAAGGCCGCCTTTTGCAATTGACTAATAGCAAATTTGTCAATGCCAATGGTGTTCAAGTGGTGCTCCAGTTGTTTTGGGATTGCACCCAAGGAGCCTATTACTATTGGTACTACCTTGCTTGCTTTTGCCACAGTCTTTCTATTATTATTATTATTATTATTATTATTATTATTATTAGCTATAAAAAAGGATCGAGCAGTCCACTCAGCTCCAGATTATAAATAATTATCCTGAGCTGCTCCGGCATTCTACATTTTTTTGCAGCAATCTAATTCTACACCTACTGAGCATTTGACATGGGGTCTTTGTGCAAGGAACCTTTTGTACACCTTCTGAACATTGACATGGGGCCTTTACGCAAGAAACCTCTTGTATAACTTCTGAACATTGACATGGTATCTTTATGCAAGAAAATTATGATCTCTGGACAGTTGAGGGACAATATTAGAAATGTATTGGACATTTTGGAATACTTAGAACAACATAATAAAAAACAAGCAGGGTTGTTTTTTCTGAATGCAGAAAAGGCCTTTAACAATTTGAACTGGACAAGCCAGCTTCCAATTCATTTTCCTCAAATATATGTTTTTTTTAACAGAAGGCAGTCATAACAGGGGCTCTAATTGGTGCTAAGAAAGGCATTTGGAGGCACATTCGTGCCCATCTTTTGCAGTTGCCAGGAGTCAGCAGGACCAATTTTTAAAAAAATGAAAATGTAGGAGATGTTAAGGGACAAAACTGAAGCCCTTAAAGCAGAAGATTTCACAGGATCCTGCAGTTTCCAAACTATTTATCACAGCACTATGGAATGCCATAATGAACTCACAAGGGTGCTGCAGGATATTTTAATACAGGTAGTCCTTATATCAGAATCTACCCATTATAGTACTGTCATATATCATAATGCTCGTAAAATAATCACATGGCTGGCCTGATTTTACAACCCTTTTTGAGGCAGTCGTTAAGGGAACCCCACAGTCATTGTGAATGCTATGATTGTTAAGCAAACTAATGGTTTGCTATGGGCACAGTTTTGCCAAAATGCAGAAAAGCTGATTTTTGACAAAACCGTTATAAAATGTGGTCACGTGACTGCGGGATATTGCAAACAGCCATAAATGTGGTTTTATTGCTGAGCATCTGAAGTTCGGTCACATGACTGTGGAAGGGGCCTGACTGTTGGAACTCTGAATCCAGGTTGCATGTCCCCTTTTTCTGATCAGTCGTAACTTTGAACAGTCATTAAACAACCAGTCGTAAGTTAAGGACTACCTGTACTTTATACAAATGCAGTGTTGAGTGTTATTGTTGTGATGCTGCTGTGTTATTGCTGTGTTGTGATGCTGCTGTGAGTTCTCCACAGTGCACTGGGGCATTGAGGTACACAATTTGGGAATAGGTATGGTGGTGGCCTAAAGGCTTAAAGGACCTTTTCTACCGCTTTAAAAACTCCCCCTTCCTTCAGTGAAGTCTATCTTGGATTCTGATTATTCCACCTTTGGGGTGCAGCTCTTAAAGCCTACAAAAAGATAAGTGGGCCTCACTGAGCAAACAGAAATCATTCTCCTCTGGTAAAAGAGATATATCTCTCCCCCCCTCCCACCCCGGAGAAAATGTCTTCATTTAGGCCAGTAGTTCTTAACCTGGGCGATGTCGCCCCCCAGGGGGCAATTTCATTTTTCAGGGGGGCAATGGAACAAAAAGGGGTGACGCGGGGGTGAAGGAACGAAACGGGGGCGATATGGGGGTGATGGAGCGAGAAGTTTTGGGGACACTTTTGAGACTTTTTCGTACAGTGAATCGCTGTATATCTGTCCTACAAAAACAACAGATCGCTCGCTATTAGTGGATTGAATTATGTTTTCAAATGTTCCTCCAGCTAGCTTCAGTACAGAACGCCGTACTTATGTGAATACGCGTTGCGCAGCAGCCTCTACCTTTTTTATATTTCTTTTTGCGTCTTAAATTTCACTTGTAATTCAATCATTAAATGTTACTGTTTTTCTTTTTGGGCATTTCACTTTCTTGCAATTGAATTTTGTGTTCAGTGGTCATTACATTTAAGTGTCTTGAATAAATAAGATAATAATAAAATACATGTGTCACGAAGTTTGGGAATAAAGTGATGGGTAGCACCAAAATTTTTCACACAGTTGAGATATGGGGAAAAGACTGGAAATAAATTATTTGCATCGATATGTCCTGATGACAATTTTAAAGAAAACAAAACAAGTGTTTGCATAAATTGAAGAATTATTTCCTATGTTGTGATTGAGAGGTTATGTTGGGGGAGGGGGGCGATGACAACTTCTTCATTGGCTCAAGGGGGGTGATTCGGTCAAAAAGGTTAAGAACCACTGATTTAGACTACTACCTGTCATTCTGCTTTTATTACCAACCTCCAAGGTAGGGAAACTATTCACCTATTCACTCTAAACCGCCTTCCAGCTCTGGGACACTTCTGAATTGAGGAAACAGTTAAACTACACTGCATCTGAATGAAAATAACCAGGCCCATTGGCATGGTTGAAAAAGGTTGGCCTTTTGAAGTTCCAACAATTGGCTACATTAAAGGTGATTAAAAGTCTTTATATCATGTCTGAACACTCCAGGCAGACAGCCAGGGAAAATCCTCCTAGATGAAAAGGAAAATGTAACAGTAATAATTACAATTCCAGGTATAATTATAATGACAATGCAAACCAATAATTATTATTTCCTTACCTGAGCTTTCCTCATGAAAAATGGGGGTGATAAATACCAGTATTTTCTTTCTAAAATTATTATTTGCAATTCTGAGGGTGAAAATGTTTATAAAAATGCTTGTTCCCCTGGTGAAGAATTAGCCCTGAAGCTAAGCAAGGTTGCCTGGCCTTGAGTGGAAGATTTCCAGGGATTACCAGGGATAGAAACTAGAAACTATTAAAAAAAAATTGAAAAGGCAACGATAAACCAGTGATGTTTTGCAGCTAAGTTTTTTGAATGTGTCTGTAAATTCACATACACACACAATCAAACTCAACCTGGAAACTTTACTTTAAAATTATTTAAATCTAAAGTTGCAGACAAATAGTTCTGAAATTGATTAATAATACAATCAACAATGTATTTTTGATATTATTGGCACTAATACAGTACTTATACAGAGTGCTCATACTTGCACTCAATAACTTGCATTCAACTTCCTGACAGTTAGAACAATTAACCAGTGGAACAACCTGCCTCCAGAACTTGTGGATGCTCCAACACTGGAAGTTTTTAAGAAGAGACTGGACAGCCATTTGTCTGAAATGGTATAGGGTTTCCTGCCTGAACAGGGGGTTGGATTAGATGACCTCAAAGGTCCCTTCCAACTTTATTATTATTATTATTATTACTACTACTACTACTACTATTATTATTATTATTATCTCATCCCCGAGTCCTTCTTCCCTGAGTCCCAAGTGTAGTGCTTATGAAGCCAATATGTCCACAGATATCCTGCAAGCTCCAGTTACACCTAAGCTTTAAGTTAGATTCTTTTAACTGAAAAAAAAATTAAAAATAGGAAGCTAACATGTTACCAAGCCAATTGTCAAGGTTCCAATCGACAGAGACAAATAAAGCAGAACTCCGAGGCTTGCAAATTCCTCAAAGAACATTTTTATTGATACAGAGTATTGGTACTTCAAAAGTGAAACCAAGTCTGAAGAGATGCATAAAAATTCCCTAATACAAAGTTAAGAAATCTCTCCGCCAAAGCTATGCAAGCAACTACGTTTCCCCACTCAGCTTGTTGGTGGGCTTTTCATGAAACGCCCAGCCTGCAATCTTGGGAGCAGCCGATGACCTTGGTTCCCATGACAGAAAGTCCGAGAGAGAAAGTTTGTTTTGTCTAGCACAGGGTAGGCAACCTTGGCTTTTTTAAGACTTGTGGACTTCAACTCCCAGAATTCCTGGTCTAGCGCAACATCTGGCAAACCCCCTCACTCCATGCTATGTAGCAACTAGGAACGAGAAGGAAAAAGATGGCTGCCACCATGCTCATTCTAAAGTTGACATCACTCTTCAATTCAAGAATTATCCTTCCTACAAAGAATTCTTCTGAATTTTGTTCCATCCCCTTCATGATGATACTTTTTTTAGCAACAAAATTGAGAATGTTTTAATTATTTCTGGTTTTAGAAATATTTTTTAAATTAGTTTAGTCTAAATTCCTTAAATATTTTTAGAAACTTAGAAGGAGACAGAAACTTTACTGCAAAATATCCAAGCGACCTCCCAGTTAATTTCAATCTACATTCTGTCCAACCCTGGGGAATAAAAGAATAAGGTGCTATAAACCTTACCTTTCCTATTTCACTTTTCAGTTTGTATTGATTCAGCTGCACACAATCCTGTGGATTAAAAAAGATAAACCAAGTTAGTATGGGAGGTGTAATAAAAAATAGAAAGCCTGAGATGTAGCTTCACTTCTCTCTAAGCTCCTCAAAATAATGAGAAGTGACAAATATATTTTGGGACCTCACTCACTAGGGAAGATAAGATATAAATATTTTTAAGCAGCAATGCTTCCAACCTGCTTCTATTAAAAAAAAAATTACAGCAATAGACAGAAGAGACAGCTTTGCATGAAGGAAGTTGCCCAAGGATGCTCCCAATGAAGAGTAAAGTATCAAAAATCCTCCATTATTTTGTATTTTATTTCAACTTTTTTTTGGGCTTTAGAAACTGGGTAACTTTGAATAAGTTCAGAATCTAAGTAAGGTCAGACTGACTATTATTACTGGACAGAAGGCTATCCAAGAAATCTCAAGACTGGGAAGTTGAAAACACCATTCCAAAAGGTGACAATGTCTGTGTCAGGGTCTGCCATGCTGGTATGTCTCCAATGCTTCGCTAGATGCCAATCTGCCATATTGCAACAAGCAGGAAAGGACTGTGGGCTGGGCATAAGGTAGAAGGCAGAAGATGGGGAAACAAACTACTCTTCATGCTGTCCCATGCAGCCAGGGATTGTTACCAAAACAATTTATTTGAATACCATGAGACATCAATTGATAAACATAGGGGGTGGGATGGGAAGTCAGGGGAAAAGTTAAACAGATGCTTTGGGGGTGAAATTCCAGATCCAGCTTTGCTGCTGGATTGTATTGCTGATGCTGAGAAGATTACATGGTTGTGTCCATAAAGTCTCCGAAGTCCCTTCCTTTGAGTCAAATTTCTTTTTCTGCAGTACTTTTACCAATGCACAGGAGATGACACACTTACCTCTGAAATAGCTTGCATATGGAAGGGAATAAACAATGGAAGGAACCAAAAAATAACATTAATAACCCACAGTTTTGGAAATAATTTTAACAATGCTACCAATAAAACTATTATTCAAGGGAAAGGGAAAACATTTTAGCCCGTTTTACAATAGACAAAAAGCTCAAATTTCATAGAAAAACAGTAAAAGATAGGTGAACTTGATTAAGGCAAGATCTCTGTTTCTTAAGTTATAAGGGGGCTATTCCACATATACATCGGGAAAACAAGAATAGAACTCAGATATGAGGCTGTGAGGCTCTCTTCCTCATTGGAATAGCCCTATTTTGGGGATACTGGAGTTGTATTGTATTTTCCCCCAACCTGGACTTTCTTCAGATGTACGGACAAAGTGCCAGAATGACACTGTCACTATTGCTCAGAATTTTAGGTCCATGCATCTATAGGATCAAAAAAGCTAGAGCAGGTGATCTCCAAAGGTCCTTCAATGCCACAATTTTATTTACTCTTTGATTCTATGCTGTAGCACTAAATCTCCTGCAGTGAAAATGAAATAGGAGATGATTATAATTCTGTGAAACGTGAATGACACAAGAAGGAATAATGGGTTCCTTTGAAATACGGAAACAAAATTCTCAGGAAATAATTATCACCCTTCCTGCTCTCCTCCCTTCCCTATAAATAGCTACTCATACACACTAAGAGGAAATCTTTTAATGCAATGTTTCTCAACCTCAGCAACCTCAAGATGTGTGGATTTCAACTCCCAGAATTCCCCAATCACCTATGAATTCTGGGAGTTGAAGTCCACATACCTTAACATTTTGAGGTTGAGAAACAGAGTTTTAATATTTTCCTATTTCTATTGATGAGAAAATGAGTCTGGGAGAGGTCTTCGGCTACATTTTGTTCCTTTCTAGGAGTGTCGCTGAGGTTCTCTCCGCATGGAACTGAGCACCCTTGTCGTATTTTACAGAGGTATGTGCAGTCTGCAGTGGGGCAAGAATATTAAATAAGACAGCACTCCATAAACAGCATTTCCAAAATTTTCTGCTTAGGCAAATGCCAATATTGTTAAGTGTGTCAGGTGTCAAATAATACATTTTGGGTTATGACTCATAATGGACAATATAGAAGTAAAGAAAATGTTGGTAGCTCATTATGACTGTACTGAGCAGTCTGATCATAGCTGCAATTAACACTGCAACCATTAACATACAGGGTGGTCCTTGACTTACAACTGTTTGCTTAGTGTCCATTTGAAGTTACGAGGGAACACCCAAAAAGTATTTACAACCTGCTTCCAAAATTATGGTGTGTGGACACCTCCTTCCATTGTCTTGGGAGTGCATTTTGGGTGCATGGCAATCAGCCCACATTTACAGCCATTTGGACTATCCCACAATCATGTGACCACAATTTACTTCTATTTTTTAGCAAATAGGGCTCATAGCTCGTCGGATTAACAACTGCTGTGTTTGCTTAATGACTGTTCCAAAAAAGATCACAGAAATGGGTCTGTCATGTGATGACCTGCTTTATGACCATCATGACTTGTGACTGTAATGGGCAGGCTCCATTACAGCCATAAATTGAGGACTACCCATACTAGGCATGAAGTATATCCCCTTAAATAAAATAGCACTCATTTCCAAGTAAACAGCCATATGCTCTTTGGAAAAGAAGGTTCAAATGAACACTTCCTTTTAATTCAAATTCAATTTGAATTCAGCTTAATTCACATTACTCCCATCTGGAACAATGTACATTATTGTAGAAAAAGCCTTCTTCCTTGCTTTATATCATTTGCAGGAAATGTCTCATTCTCATTTACTATCCAGTTAGAAAGTCTCACCAGCTAATTAAACAAAAATTCTCTTTTGTTTGATGAAAATGCCTGTAGGTCATTAAAATAAATTACAGATGATCTAAACTCTGAAACTCCATTTATTGTAGTATAGTATAGTGAAAGATCTTTCAGATGCTAAAATAAATTCCATCACACCTGAGTAATTAGGATGCTGATTGGAATTAATGGAAGTTAGAATACTGCATAACTCTAAGCCCACAGGTTAGAGTTATAAGTTGGTTTTTGGAATAGCCTTACTGGATGACTTTTTGACAAATTTAAATTAAATATGGAACTCTTGGTCAGTGAGCCTTCCAGTACTTGATCCTGGCTAAAATGGATTGTTTACAATTTAGATATTCCTAATTATTTCAAGGTGAGAGCCAGTTTGGAGTAGGGGTTCAGGCACTAGGCTACAAACAGGAAGACTGTGAGTTCTAGTTGTCTTAGGCACAAAGCCAGCTGCATGACCATGGGCCAGTCACTGTCTCTCAGCTCTAGGAAGGAGGCAATGGCAAACTATTTCCAAAGATCTGCAGGAACTACTCCAGCAGTCTCCAAGAGTCAACATTGACCCCGAATATCAAGGTATTTTGTGAATCCCCAAAACAGATTACTTTGAATAAAACTGTTGTGCAAAGATCATTATATTTATATTATATGATTTCTATCTAGTAAAATCCCCAAACAGCTTTCTCTTATGCATTACAGCTGTTAGCACTATAGATTCAAAAACAAAATTGGTTTTTGCGGTATGGGGGAGTTTATAAAACATCCGTCTGTAGCTCCTTAAAGCAGCAGTGTCTTTCCCTCTGGTTGTAATTGCTTGGTGTTATGGGAACTTGTTTGTACACCATGAAGATTTTTTTCCCCTTTGAATCAGTGCTACAGAGCCCTATTTTTTATCTGCACAAATACGCAGGCAAGACAATGTGAAGAGAGAAGAGCATATGTTGTATGTCCCAAGCCACACTGTTACAGAAGGAAGTGTTTCAGCAGGAGAAAACCTACTTTTTAGAAAACTATTCCCTTCTATGTGAAAGGGAGGAGGGTCTCCCATGTTTTGAACAAAATGTCCTTAGAACTGGGGCCTCTAGAAGACTGCAGCTCCTGACTGATGAACCTATCCAGCTGGAAGAGGCTGAAAAAGAGCCCACAAAAAAGAATCACAATAAAACCATAGGATAAAATATCCTAAAAGCAGCCAGAACATCTTCTAGTCTACTAAAAAAGTGGACTTAAAAAAAAAGAACAGCCTCACTTTCAATAGGCATATATAAATTATTTTATCTCCAAATAAATGGGAATCTATAGAGAAATGCCTGAAATAAAATCTAAATAAGTTGGTAGGCTCATCATCATGTAACAATATTGCCTATTCAGATAATGATGACTGAAGAAAAGAATATAGTAGTCTGGCATGCCTCGGGTTACCATGGCAGAGCAAAACAGAGATTTCCAACCTCACAGCCACCTCTTAAAGTCATATTTTATGACCAACCGCAGGACTTTCTAATATGAACTTTATGTTCTAATGAACCAGAACATTTGCACAAAGTGTGGTGAGAAGATAACATTGAAAATTGCTATCAACCAAACCCTGACTTTATAATGTTCAGGGACTGATACATATAAACAGAAGAAAGATAGTTATGGCTTAAGGTAGCCATAAACTAGCTCTAGATTGAACGTTCTCATTGGTCAGAACCTGTCCTTATCATGTCTTTATTATGTTGCTATCTAAAATCTGGAGTTGAACTGGCAATAACGTTTGCCAGTTTGGACTTTGGAGCTAAAGTTCTATTTTTTGAGGTATTCATCAGTTACAACAATGGCTGGCAGTGAACGCAATAGACCCAACTGCCCTTTTATGCAACATACTAGTATTAGGTTGATGCTGTTGCAATATGAAGAATTAAAGTGCAGTGAGACAATTAATCAAAAGTCTCAATTCATTCAATTTCAGAATGCTCTTCTGTGAAAGCAAGACCATGGATAATATTTACTATGACCAAGGTATTCATACAAAATGTTACCCACAATGTAAAATAAAGGAGGATTATTTCTTTGTATTGTTTGTGTCCTGTAATGTGCAAGTCATATGTACAGTATGGATACATGCCACTGGGAATTAAAATTGGGCTGTAAGGTTCTGGGAGGGAACAGTCAAATGGTGGAGTGGAACTCAAAAGAAACCAAGATAATGTCTAAAGAAAAAGGCCAGAATCAACATCTTTAGAAGTCCAGCTTGTATTTCTATTGACCCTCTAGCATCCA